TGCTGTCCCTACAAGAAGAGCAAATTTGTGCATGTTCCTTCAGCTGCTTTTCTAATGGTGCGGGGGCAGTCTGAATGTCCAGAAATGGCCTAGCGCTTGGTCCTGGAGGCCGCGAGCATAGATGAGATGACTCTGAGGCTTGGAGTGCTGCTGTGCAAGAAGGGCACTTTTGGACTGAAGCGTATCCTGGTGTATGGATATGGGAATCCCAGTGGTTCCGGGACACAGCCTTGACCCCAGGCAGCAGAAGAATCGGGATGAAGACAGAGATTCACTTTCCATTATATTCCGCTCTATTCAAAGATAGCTTTGAGTGTCTGTAGTCCTGCCTTTTGAAAAGGAACCCCTGACTGTTTTTTCAGAAGTGCTGTTCTTGGGGTCTGGTCGTGCGGTTGAATGCGTAGCATGAAGAGCTTATTGGAATAGTCCTCTGCTCCCTTGCCACAGGAGAATGGATTTTATTCCATTTATTTATCTAGGGCAAAGCACTTAGTGATAATGGTTATTCTTTCTTTATTTCAGCACAGCATATAGTGAAACACTGAAAGGTATTTGTTTCTTCCAAGCATGTTTACACATGTCCCTCCTCATTATAGCATCTAAAGAAACAGCAGAGGTACAAACCCAATTGCTTTCCATTTCTCTTGTTAACGTTATGCTGCAGCAGCATTAAAACATTGCTACCAGATTGGCTCTCATTAAGTTAGGTGCTGTACAGAGACGTAATAAATTGTAGCTCCTGTTCCAGACTCTTATAAAGGCTCTAAAGTCAGGGGAATTGTTTTCTTCCAGGCTTGATTCAAAGCGCTGAAAAAGAACAGCAGTTTGTTTATCTGGTAAACATGTGGGTGATTATTGGCAATTTTACCAAGGATAGTCTTCAGGTTAATTATCTTAATACATCCCAATCAGGTAGCATTTTACCCTGAAAAGACGTTATCTTGCCTAGCAGATCTTCAGGAGTTTCTGGAAAATACATTCCAAAAGGCAATTAACACCAATACATAAAATTTTGATAGGAAACTTTCTCCTGCCTAGCTGCGTAGACCTCTTGACACATGCATTTGCGTGCAAGAATAAATATGTGCAAAATGAGCTCAAATATTTGCTGCAAAAAACCTCTCTATTCTTTGAGTGTCAAAGCTTAATATTTCAGTCTCACTGGAGTCTAGAGCTCTAATCCAAGAACCCCACCTGTTTGTGTGGATTCAGTTAATAAGTATGTTACCTTTAATGTGGGAATTTCTTAATAGAGGGCCTTATCTTATTTTCTTCTCTGCTGTAATTAGTAAGAACAGAATATTAATACCTCCATACCCCTGAGCTCCTGTTGAGTCCAAATGGACTGCGGGAATACATAAGGCGGGGATGTGATTGCTGCTCTGGATCTCGAGGTGAGCAGTAGCACCTCTGCGGGATCGGGATGGTCACTCAGTCCCACTACCCAAGCCTTGGGTTGTTTTAATGGAGGAAGAGTCCGTCTGCAGAGCTGATCGACTGCTCTAGTTTTTAGGAAGCGCGGTGAGGACCTGAACTGGACTTGCTCACTTGCTCCTGCAATCAGTGTCATGACTGCCTGTCTTCTGTCTTGGATTAAACTGCAGTGATGGCTTGCTTCGGTATAAATACAGATCTGATCTATCTCTTGAGTAAGAACAAAGCTTTCCTTCTGAGGAGCTGCAGCTCAATGTTAGACTTGTTTAAACAGCTTCTTTAAAGGGTTGGGTTTGTCTTTGAGCAGAATGTCAAAAAGAGCGTGGGGAGCAGATAGAACAGACTCCAGGGCCAGCTTCCACGGCACCTTTCATGCAAACTCGTCCCCAGGCGTTTTCACAAGAGTGGAACTAACCACCCCAATTGTGTGAACGGCTCTTTTGTTTTCTTTTGTCCAACCTATTTTCTTCAGCCGAGTCAGTTTCTTTTATTAAGTAGATTATATATTTTGGTCAATAAGAGCTTTTCTTCCTGAATTAAAAAGAATGCTGTTGGTGTGAAAAATTCTTTTATTCAGTCCTGTCTCCTTTTGATTTGCCCAAGCATTCCCAGCTGTTCCCAGAAGCGCTCTCTGGGAGATGCCCCGAGGTGGGGTTCGATGTACCTGGTGGGGTTTTTTTTTTTTTGAACGCCATCCACGATGAAAGAACAGTCGCTTTTTCTTGGCTTCTGATGTTAGTGATGGGAGAAGAGTTTTCCCTTCTGGTTGATCAGACTCGAAATGCTAGATCTGCACGAGTTGCCTTGTAATCGTCCTCTTTGCCGGAAGCTCTTCAGTTCCTGGTTCCCTGCGAGCCCTGTGCAGATGGGCCTTTCCTCTGCGGGAGCAGCAGACGCCTGCACGCGTGGGGCCTTTCTCGCCGCGTGTCTGGTAGCCGTCAGTAGGCGACGTTTGCGGAGGAATATGGTTCTTGCTCTGGCAAGCTTGCCGATTTGCTTTGGTACTTTATCACCTCTAGGAAAACGTATGCTGAACCTTTTCGTAATTAAGATGAAGAGGAGTAGTCCCCTGGCTGAGTGAGGGACGTTAGAACTGGAGTTCAGGGTCCATCCAGAGGTCCGACAGTAGTCGCCCCAAAACTGGGACTGCCTACCTGCGACCCAGAGATAATGAACTGGAGTCTCTAGAAGGGTGCTTGAGGGTCTCTAATGAAAGGTGTAGCAAAGGTATGCATGCATGCTGTTCTGAAGTCTTAATTTTCGTTGCCTACACTGCTCCCCTTACCACCTTAGGGGCAAGGAGAGGTGCAAAGCTGAGAATCACTGTTTTAAATGCACTTTTTTTTTCCCCCCCTTAAACTCAAAAGAAGAACATGTCAGCTGAGTAAAACAGCCAATAATAGCACGAGGTGAAATGAGGCCGCGCTGTGGGGCATATCCCTCCGTAGAGGGAAACTTCTGCTTTCTACGCAGAACAGATGAGGATCTCTTTACCGTAGGTCCCCATGCACTGGATTCTAGCATCATACCTTGCAGCTAAGCGCATTTTTCACACTGTGAATGAAGCTAAGTGGATACAACCAATGCATCTGCTTTCATGCTTGAAAGGATGCCTGCTTTCAGCCCAGATATGGAAGTCAGAAGTTTACAAAACCACGTTTATTAGAGCATTGAAGTGTTTTGTTTACTTCTGAGCTTCTGCAAGTGCAGCTACCATAGCCTAATTTTTGGACTTGAGAAGCTAGAAATGAAACGAATAAAAACAGAGTTCAGTTTTACTGTGTCTAAATCAAGTTTAAAAGAGCATACATGGTGAAAGGTGTGTGGTTTAAATGTGTTTAATTCATACTTTGAGGTTTTTGATAAAGTCCTACTAAAGGAGATGCTTCAAAATAATATTTCCTTTTAACTGTACTTGAAGGTTGGAATGTGCCCTGGCTGCTCTTTCCTTTCTGGTGTTTTCATAACAGCTCTGTTATAACAAACCTTTGTTCCCCCAAGTGTGCGTATCTTTCAGAAGAATTGCCCTTTCTATGCTCTACTGACCATTGGAAAATATGCGGTACATTCTGATCCGTTTAAGTTGAACGTTAGCAACTCTTTTCTTTAATCTTAAAACTTCCCTTTAAAAGCCATGTTATCTAAAGGTATGACCCTCTCAACCTTTCTCAACAGAGTTCAGTCTTGGGGTCTTCCCTGTCCTTTTCCTATCCCAAGGATAGAAATAGTAGATTTATCCTAGAAATAGTCTGTGGATTTCAGCCTGTGCCAAGCATGTAGTAATAAGCTATGTTTGCTTGCGATGCTTTCTGAAGAAGTCTCATTTGACAGCTTGTACAGCTTGACATCTGTTGGTTGAAAACCCACCTGCGTCTGATACCGTAGCGCACCTTGGGGCTGTTAGGCAGCCACAACAGTTAGGAAATGAAGAACACAGTGTCCAGAGAGAGCTAAGTGAGTGGTAATGTAATTAACCTAACTGATTTACCTAGGACACTGGAGATAAGGGATAATGGGTGTCTTCCTCTCAGGCGTACCCTGAGGTTGACCAGGACCTGCTTGTTTTCCATTAAGTTGGCAGTAACGCGCCCCCAGCCATCCAGCTCTCCTCTGCGCTTTGGACCGTGTGCCGACCCGGGGTTGGGGAAAAAGAGGTTCTTCCAGTGCCTTGAATATTCTTGAATGCTGATGCGTGTTAAATCTGCTGGTTGCCAGAGATGGCCTGACCAAAGGCTCTGCTTTTCCATTGCCCCACGGGAAGGCGACCAACACGCATGTCTTGACAGCGACTGTGACTTCCCTCGTACGTGTCTTCAGACAGAGAGAGCATAAGCAGACTTAGGGGATTTAGCTATTGGCCGGGGGAGAGTTAACAGTGGTGTTTGTATCTCTTTAAACATTTCTTCAAACTCTCTACCTGAAAGACCATTTCTGCAGCGGGTGAGTACATGTTTCTGAATCCCTCCGGGGAGACTGAAAGATCTGATGAAAGCTGAAGAAAATACTGCATGCTGCTAAACAAGCCCCACCCTTCTTCTTGACATTGTTGCATGGCCCTTTGTTCCCAGGGATGGCCGATGCCTGGGGATTTGCTTGCAGTTTTTTTTCAGGCAGCTTGAGAAAAGCACAATGACAGCTGGAAGGCTGGAAAATGTGGGAATCTGTCTTGGAGCTTCTCCTGCTTCTCCTTCAGTCTTAACCCAAATAGTCTTCATGGAGAGCAGGCAAAAAGCCAGGAATGTATTTGACCCAAGGTAGTGTCTCGAATCAGGATAGCAGTTACTAAAGAAGTGGCTGATCTAGTTGGGTGAAGCACGCTTGGCTTGTACAGTCAGTTTGGATTGGTTTTGTTTTGGCATCTGCCCGCCGCTTGTTGCCTCACGCGAGTTGAGGTGGTGGACCCCAACTAACCCATGATGGACGGCTGTCTTTGGCATAGTTGAAAAATCCTGGATGGGGGAGTTTGGGTGCAATTAAGTATATCAGTTGCTGTAATTTCCTCCTCCCCCCCCCCCCCAACTTTTTTTTAACGGATCTTGGTAAGACTTAGCTAAATTTGCAGAGATGACTCTGGTCATCTCAGTTAGTAGGTGCAACAAGGACAGGAGAAAGGACTGTCTAGATAATCGCCTTTCTAGAAAGGCTCTTTGGCGTCTGGGTTGTATGCTGTGCTTCAACTGGCTTCCGTGAATTCTCACTTCCTCCGAAATACTTGCTGAATATTACTTGTCCTGCTATTAAAGTTGGTTCTTCTTGACCCCGAAAATGACCTTTCCCATCTGAAGTGAGAATTTCAAAGGACAAAGTTTTCTTGTTTGAGCGTTTAATCTCCAGTAGGTTTTAAGGTCATCTTGTTTTGATTTCTGCAGCTTTGACATGTTTGTGCTCCAACTGCAACCAAGCAAATTCCACATGTGAAACGGATGGGGCATGCATGGTCTCTGTCTTTAACCTGGATGGTGTTGAACATCATGTTCGGACCTGCATTCCTGAGGCGAAGTTGGTTCCTGCTGGGAAACCCTTCTATTGTTTGAGTTCAGAAGACCTACGTAATACTCACTGCTGCTACTCTGATTTTTGCAACAAAATTGATTTGATGGTTCCTAGTGGTGAGTATAGAGCTAAATAAAGCTTTCATCTGTTTGACGTGGGGAGGAGAGAAGTTGCCTGTTTGGGATTGAGAAGGAGGACTTCTTGGTCCTGACTTCACTCCTTTCCTTAGGTTGCTGCGTGAACTGGAGCGCTCTGTTTGTTTCCTCGTTTTGTAAAGCAGAAATAGTAACTAAAGGCTGCAGATAAAACGTGAAGCTGCTTGAACTCCCCTGTGGTAGACAAAATGTCACCAAATGATGTGGTTACACTTTAGGGCAGAAGCTTCCAAAATGTGGGGTTTTGCTTTGGTTCTTTTTGTTTGGTTTCACCTGCCCTCAGTAGCTCCGTACTAAAGAGGCTCCTCTCATCTCATCAGCCCCACTGCTGATATCCTCGCAGATTCCTGAAAGCAGCTGTCGGTACGTTCATCTGCAGTTGATACGAGCTTCTGCAGCACGACGCTGTGTGCCCGCAGCGGCCCGAGAACAGTGTGTGTTCTCTGGGCGCAGCTCGGATCCCTTTTGTGGCGCTGAGCTGTGCTGTCGCCTGCCTTTTATCTGATAGAATTGCTTTCCTTCCTTTAGGACTGAACAGATCTTTTCAGCGATGAGCCGCGAGTATGGGAGCATTGCAGCAGCCTCTTCAGAATAAAGCGTGGGGGGGTGGAGGGGTGCCTGAACTCTAAATGTGTGAAGAGGAAGCAGCCCTGCCTTTGAGTGAGGGTGTGGGAAAACTCGGCTTCCCTCTGATTCTTGAGGCAGAAGTCATGTAGTACTTCCTCATACCTCTTCCCTCTCCATTTTTAGGCTGTTATTTAGTGGATCTTAGACCCGTTTTCCTTGGGGGCAGTAGGGGGATCTTACCTGTTCTCAAAAAGACAAATAATTGTCTTCAGTTACCGTTCTTCACTGCTTGTTACAGGGCAAAACCTTCCTTTAAAAAGAGGGAGAACTGATTCCTTGAAGCTGGCTTATTGCTGGCTTGTTCGTCCACTTGGAGTTCAAGTGGAAAGTAAAATTCAGGCTGTTCTAGCAAAGTCAGCCCAGTTATCCTGGTGTAAATAGCTGGTGCTGTAATCCCTAATCTGACAGTTGAAGCACCATCTCCTTTTGGGGTTTTTAACTGTAGTTTGCCTGCATGATTAGTTGATCAGTCCCATGTTAACACTGTTATTTGACATGCCTTCTACTGTCCTGGAACAGCAAGCTGGAAGAGTCTTGGTTCTGAGAGGGTAAATAAAACACAAGAAGGTCCTTAAAAACCACTTGTGAAGGAGTCGTGCATTTCTGAAAGTGTA